GGTCACCCTCATAACCATGATGAGATACTCCAGGACTCAGATATAGACAGAAGGAAGTCTGCATTTAACAGGGAGAATGATGAATTCAACACATTATTAGGATCTGGCTTGCTTATTTGAAATTCGGGTCCTAAACGTACAGAAAAGTTTACAGTTTGCAGCCATGTAATAGACTAATCAAAATAGTAATCATTTGTAGAGTGTTCCTTACTGGCAGTCAAACTATTTACTTGAGATTTCCCAAATATTGAGAGCGATACAGATAAAGGAAACTTCTCAGTTTGCTTTTAGTCAGATAAATAACTATGTGGTCAAACCCATATCACTGAACAAACATGAATTAGAGGAAATATTTTCAACTCAAGTAACTGTCAACTTATCTCAAGATTACGTATACCCTCCAACAACCATCAGTATTGAACACATACTGAGCCACATTGGGTTAAATCTAATTTACTGATCCTTTCACAACACATCTTATCATGGTATGGGAGAGCTGAAGAATATATTTCTGTCATACTGTCTACCAACTAAATTGCTGGAGAAAAGAGCAGTCATTCTAAAGATCATTTTCTATGAGAAAGTTTCAAGTTAAAGGTAACAGAAAAACATTGGCTAGTTTAAATCTGAGCAGCAACTTGTGAATTGGGCACTCCTTAGTTCTCTTAGAAAAGAAAAGGACACCTTTTAGGAACAGCCATACAACACTTCAAGTGCAAAAGGGAAAATGGGTGGCTGCACGTTCATATTTGTGGAAGAGAAAAGCTATACTGAACTCAAACACTCAGAATTTTATCAACTTTCTCTGAAGTATTAAGCAAGTTCAGATATTCAGAATATCTCCTGACAATGTCATATTGCAGAATCTGAGTTGACTCTAGCCTGTTGCTTCTGACATTATGCATTGTTAAAGTTCTATTCTCCAGCCCTTTTGAAATCCTTGACAAATTTCCTTTTTAGGTGATTACAGTCTCTGCACTCGTAGTTACTTCCAGCAGAGCATTTCACAGTCTAACATATCTAAGTATGAAAATATTTCTCCCAAATTTCTCCTTCATTCTGGTTACAAATTTCAATCTCTTCAGTGAGTGGGAAACAATTTTTCAATCCTTCAAAACCATTCATAATCCTGAATATCCTTTTTAGATCCCCATTGATCTTCCTTCGTCAATGGTCATCTCAGGAGCGATTTCTTCTCCCAGAATGTCATTAGTCTCTGGAACTCTCTTCCACAGAGGGCTGTAGATTCTGGGTCATTAAATATACTCAAGGCTGAGCTAAGCAGATTTCTAAACCACGTTAAAGTCAAGGGTTATTGGGGTGGGGAAGAGGTTGGGATACTAGGCAGGAGTGAGGAATTCCAACAAATCAGAATGATCTTACTGAATGGCACAGTAGACTTGGTAGGTCATCCTACTTTACTGGAGTTGAAAAATTGTAGCAAGCCAATATTCACTACCGCCAATTTGTGTTTTTTTAACAAAATTCTTTAAAAAATGTATCAAGGTTCTTCCTTATTTCACAGTGAAGTAGGAATTAAGGAAAAGTATGAAGAACTGGCTGCATTTGGGGAAGAAAATTTGCCACCTTACCTGTCAAATCATGTTTTTACAAGGTATCTATTTGAGATGGGTTAAAATTAAAGGAGGTGCAGGACGAGAAAAGAATTTCCTCAGTACAGCGAGAACAATGAGCAGAAATGTTACAGGTCATGTTTCAAAGGGAACAGATTGGTCCAAATATCAGGGGACCCCACGTTTAATTCAAATCCTACAGTTAATGGCATTGAGGATCAGACTCCTGGCTGGAAGCCCAGACATAAGTCAATGTCTGTCCCAGGCAATAGGGGTCCAATGGGAGTGTTGGCAATCTGAGGGAGGGGTATTTAGTGTCATCAAGGAATATTGAAGAACATGGTTGAGACAGGCACAGATCTCAGTTGGTGAGGGGTGGTGGTGGTGGCAAGGTGATACGAGGGCATGGTTGGAAGGTATTTTTGGGTGGGGGAATGCATGGGAGGTTGTCCAAATTGCAGAGGTGGCCCAGGCAGCGTCTGGGTTGAGTAGGATAAGAGGGCAGGCCTTAACTCTTAAATCCACAAAGCCCTTGCCTTGAGGAAACTGCAATGTTCCGATCCTGACATTGTGGAAACCCGGTTAGTAATAATTAATGTTGAAAACTTCAATGACTCTGAGACTCACTCTCTTGCACTGGGTTGAATGCCTCTCCATTTTCCAGCCTCAGTGAAGTGGCCAAGTTGGAAGTGGGTTCGAGTTAGTAGACAGATTTCTCTAAGCAGAGACTCTCTCCTGCCTTGTGAACCAAACCTACCTGATTAATTTTACATTAAAATTCACATTAAGCTGACAGAAAAAGTGTCCATTTAATAATCTTTGATGCTACTGCTCCCCAGAGAGCAGTGGGGGGCAGGGTCATTGAATATTTTTAAGGCTGAGTTAAGATTGAGTCATCATTGATAAGTGATTCAAAGGGGATGGGGGTAGACAGGAAACTGGAGTTAAGGCTACAGCCAGATGAGCCGTGATTTTGTTCATTGGCAGAGCAGGGTTGAGTCCTGTTCCTTATTCAGGTGCTGGTAAGTACGCACATTTAGCCAAAACTACTCGGTCAACTTTATTTAGGTCAGTTAACTCTGTTAAGTTTATTTAAATTTAGTCACTTAAAATATGGAGAAGATAGCAAAGAGTAATCCAGTTACATAAAGGGTATGGGAAAATATATCCTTTTCACATAATTAGAATCCGATTATCATCAACCCCACCTCCAAAAAAAAAACACTATAATGATTTAGAGGTGAAGTACTTGGCACTAAGCCATATCGAGCAGAGAGAATCAAGGTTTATCTCTGGTCTGTTGATTGCAACGTGGGATCGAATCAGAGGTATTTGACCACTGCCAAGTTGTGGAAGGGAAAATGGTCAGATCTCCCACCTCTCATGACTGTACAACAACTGCAGTAGCACGATTCCAATAAACTTCTGCTGCTCTAGTGAAGACCAAGTCGTCTTCAGCTTGACACACGTCACAATCTAATGCCAGACAAAGGTCACATATGACCAATGGCCTTTTGGTTGAGATCCTTGAGAGTAATCACTGCTCACAAATCATACCCCAGTAAGGGAACTTCTTCAGGAAACATTGGATAAAAACAATATCACTTAGGTTGAATGCACGTTGTTCAATTATTTCTATGTCTAAGAAAACGTTCCCTTCAGCCTGAATGCAGTTCGGTTGCAGATACTGGATATAGCTTCTTTTAACCATGGTTACATTTACTGTCCCCAGCAATCCAACAGCATCTTATTTCTCAGGTCTTTGCTGAGACAATTCAGAACTGGAAGCTGATAGCCCAACATGCAGGTAGGAAATCTATTTGATTAGAACGCGACACCGCCCTGGTATTTCATAAGGTCAATGTGTACATGTTCAGGGATGGATTTTATAAGTTGAGGGATGATAGAAATTGCGGAATGAGAATAGCCATCTACCACTAGACTTGCACCCTGAACAGACTGTGAAATCCATCTCGTTATAGATCCAGTCCTATTCCTTTAGTGTCCGAAGAGAAACGTTTCCCAAGTCCTTCTAAATTCCCAATGGAAAGAATACCGCCCAGGAATGTTGAGTAACCTGCAGAACTACCTAAAACCTTATTAACTGTTTTAAATTCCCAACGTCCCAGGAATCACAGTGCTCTTGCATTCTACTAATTAGTGTCCAATCTACTGTTGTCTCAAACGTTAAATTCTGTTCCTAGCTTGGTATTAAGTTGTGTGCTTTCGAAATACTCAACTAAATCAGTTTTACTATTTTGCAGACAAATATACCTGCAGGTTCTCAGGCGGAACTAGGGATAGGTGACACAGTGGCTCAGTGTTTAGCCCTGCTGCCTCACAGCACCAGGGACCCGGGTTTGATTCCAGCCTCGGGCGACTGTCTATGTGGAGTTTGCACATTCTCCCCGTGTCTGTATGGGTTTCCTCCCAGTCGAAAGATGTGCAGGTTGGGTGCAGATTGGCCACGCTGAATTGCCCGTAGTGGTCAGGGCTGTGAAGGCTAGGTAGATTTACCATGGAAAATGAAGGGTTATATGGATAGGGTAAGTGTTTGGGTGGGATAGGATGCTCTTTGGAGAGGCAGTGTGGACTCAATGGGCTGAATGGCCTGCTTCCACACTGTCGGGATCCTATGAGATGTTGGCTCAGCCAGCAACACCCACATCCTTTGAGTAAATAAAACAAAGGGACTGTAATCATGATATCGATTATAGGCCACCACCCTCCATTGTATTTGAGATTGTTGGCATTGTTGTGTTGGATTATGGGCTTTTAACCACCTGTCTGATACTAGGGGTAAAAAAGCAGAGAACATGTCCTCCTCCACGAGGAATTGAAAGCCAGCTAGACTGATTCTTCCCAAGCCTCCTTCAACAAGTTGGAGGTGGCTTAAAGCATCATGAAAAAAGACTTGGTGACCCTTTCCGTGTCAATGGAGATTGGAAGAGCTGAAAACATGCATTTCATAGAATCCCTACAGTGCGGAAACAGGCCATTCGGCCCAACATGTCCACCTCGCCCCTCCAAGAAGCATCCCACCCAGACCCATCCCCCTGCATTTCCCTTGTCTGACCCACCTAACCAAAACATCCCTGGACACTATGGGCAATTTAGCACAGCCAAGCCACTTACCCTGCACACCTTTGGACTGTGGGAGGAAACCAGAGCACCTGGAGGAAACCCACACAGACACGGGGAGAATGTGCAAACTCCACACAGACAGTCGCCTGAGGGAGGAATCGAACATGCGTCCCTGGCGCTATGAGGCAGCAGTGCTAACCACTGAGACACCATGCCACCCATTTAAGGAAGACAAAAAAAAACTATAAGTGATGCAGTTTATTCTTACATTTGTTTGCCCATCCAATATCAACAAAAGGATTTATCGTAGAGTCACTTACCTTCATCAGGAAGTCTCAGACATCAAGGCCAAAGGATAAAGGCAAGGGAGAAAAACAGAAATAAAAACAGAAACTGCGAACGGAAAAGAAAATGGAAAGACAGAGAGAAGAGCAAAATGTTTAGAACAAGTAGTGTTATGATGCAAGCAGCATGCATGGAACAACGACACAGACACAGTGCACAAAATTGAAGTTATACTTCCTCACAAATACTGCATGCTTTCCCTCCTACAGTTAGATCAAATGTCCAAAGAATATTAGAACATCACTTGACAAGTCATTGGGCAAACTAATCAAGGACATTGAAGCCTGTACATTTCCACGCTCTTAAATCTACTATCACACCTATTTTGGTTTTCTTTTCATCCATACTCTGCCGCTGGTTGCTCAAGTGTGTTTCTTTAATTCTTGGACATCTGAAGGATAACTGAGCACACAATACTCGATGTAGAGGGCACATTTCACGAATTCAGGTGCAGATGGGAGCAGGCCTCTCTGTGCTCACAAACCCCAGCCCGGCCTGTTGCAATCTCCAGCTGAATTCCTAATATTTGAGGAGCACTGATTTCAGACAGTGTCCCTCTGATTGAAGTGAGGAAAAGGTCAACGGCAGGTAACAGACTGATAAGCTCACCTTTTCCTCCAGATCTTTGATTTGCCGTTTCTGAACGTCGGTTTTATCTTCCAGATCCCGTATCCTCTGAAAAACAACATGCACACTGAGTGAACCTGGGAGCTACTGAACATCAAGCACCGCTGTTCCATCAAGGCAACAGGTCAACATTAATCACCCAATAAAACCTCTTTTCCCAAGATTAAACACATTGCCTTTACATTGCAATAATGACTGTAGTATTCTCATCATCAACATAAATTGCTATGTTTCAGAGTAGATATGTTTCTGAGTAATTTTGGAGGTGTGGAGGGATATTTCACTCATTAGCGTCTGAGAACTGGTCGAATACCAGCTATAATATTGATTTTGTAAAATGGGATCTTAGGAACATGAAATGCCTTGTTATTCTGCTCCTTTTCACCCCACATTCTCTGCATGGTAATCTGGCTGCTTGTGCTTGAGAAAAATGTTCGTTTGTAGCATTGAATCTGTTAGCTCTGCGATACCACTCGCACCTGAGAAAGAGGCTAGGAGTTTATTTATTTTAATTTCATAAATACATTTTATTTATGAAAAAAACATTTATATGCATATATAGTAATGAATGCTGTTCAAGTCTGTACAGTCTTTGCATAAGGAAACAAACAAATATTGGAGTTTAGAGTTCCTACAGTTCTAGCAAACAACCCCAAGGCATTTCTTACTTATGCAAGATACTATTTACATAGAATAGAAATATCAGGAGGGTCACTTAACTGAACGGACTTTGTACTTTGGCAGAAAGACCTTAGACAGTAGTCTTTCCCCACTGCGCCTGGGTGGAAGCTGTCCCAAGCTTTAGTGCGTCTCTCAGCACATAGTCTGCATTGGATTTCAGATTGCAGATTTCCAGCATTTGTGCGAACTTGCTTATGTACTTCTCCTTTATTTGGTGCCACTGAACTCCCAATAGCCATGAGATGGCAACAGATTTGGATGATGCAACATCAATGGTAAATCAGAGTCATACAGCACGGAAACAGACCCTCTGGTCCAACCAGCCCATGTCAACCATAACCCCAAACTAAACTAGTCCCACCTGCTTGTGCTTGGCCCATATTCCCCCAAACCCTTCCTATTCATGTACTTATCCAAATAATTGTACCTACATCCAAGTTCTCTGGAAGTTCATTCCACACATGTACCGCTATGTAAAAAAAAGTTGCCCTCTATGTCTTTTTTTAAAGTCTTTCTCCTCTCACTTTAACAATTTTCCCCCTAGTTTTGAAATCCCCACCCTAGAGAAAAGATACTTACCATTCACCTTATCTATACTCTACATGATTTTATAAACCTTTACACCCCTCAGCCTCCTATGCTCCAGTGAAAAAAGTCCCAGCCTATCCTTATAGCTCAAACCCTCCATTCTGGGCAACATCCTGGTAAATCTTTTCCGAACCCTCTCTAGCTTAATAATATCTTTCCTATAGCAGGGCAACCAGAACTGGACACTACTCCAGAAGAGGCCTCAGCAATGTCTTGTACATCGTCAACATCAGTTCTGTATAGTTAAACAGTAACACGTCCTTTTAAAATTTAGCATTCGTGGCCTATCATGCAAGTCAGACATAAGGTAACCAGCTATTACATACAATCAAATACATCTATTCTGTTCAATAAGACTGAGCCTCTCCTCTGCCAGAGGTTTTGTGTGGGTAACCTTCCCCAGGTGTATCCCAAAGCTGGACTAATTTCAGTAAGAAGGATTAGTGGCTGTGATCTATCCATGACATCTTGAATTGTTCTGAAGGACAAATGACAATTTAAAGCACCAACAACACTCACCTGTAACAAAACATACAGCACATAGACTGCAACGGTACAAGTTGGTAGCACACCACAATGTTACCCGCAGCAACTAGGGACGGGCAGTAAATGCTGGCCCAGTCAATGATGTCAACATCCTTTGAGTGAATTTTAAGAAAAGGTTCAATAGAATCCAGGAGAAAGCAACCTGTTCGATTGGCACACCATTCACCCCTTTCACCGCTGTGCTCAGTGGCTGTGGTCTACTAGATTCATGGCAGCAACTCACCAAGACTTCTTCAACAGCACCTTCCCCACCTGTGACCTCTACCCTCTGGAAGGACAAGAGCAGTAGCTGGAGGGGAACAAATAAGCTTCCTTCCAAGTGGCGCACCACCCAGATTTGGGAACCTATTGCCAATTCCTTCATTGATACTGGATGGAAATCATGAGACTTCCTTCCTAACAGCGTTGTGGGTGTACTCACACCATGCGGACTGCTGGTGTGTTTGAACGTTGCTCCCTACCGCCCTCTCCAGGGTACTTAGGGATGAGCAATGAATGCTGGGCCAGGCAGAAATGCCCACATCCCATGAATGTAGCAGAAAAATCACCCATCTTCCCTGCCCACGGTACAGTCAAATGAGCCACGGAACTCCCTACAACATCCGAATCGGTCTGTATTTGAACATTCAGGTAATTGAAACTGGCCTTGACACGACAATGGGGGCCTCAACGGCAGGAGGAGGAAAATGGATTATTGTCCTGTAGTGGTAAAGCTCAATTTGTCTTCTCAGGTTAGGACCTCAATGTCAGGGGCCTTTCCAGTCCTGCATGACATCACCAGACACCCACACCTTTGATGGACGGTAAAATTAAAGGACAGTATGGCTCACTATCTGACCAGGGATGATTGTGTTCCTGAAGCTGAAAGGTCATCAGGAAGTTCTCCAGCGTTGGTAAGCCACTGTGAGCAGAGCCTGGAGTTGCCTGGCCAGTTTGAAGAGTGACAACTTCTGCAAAACTTAAACATAAAAAGGAGGTCACAGCTGCCAGCAGATCATTGCTGAGGAAGAACCTCCTCCTCACGTTTTCCCAGCCACCATCAGTTCTGAGGAAGGGTCACCGGACCCGAAACGTTAACGCTGTTTTCTCCTCCACAGATGCTGCCAGACCTGCTGAGCTTTTCCAGCAACTTTGTTTTTGTAACATCCTCCTCAGGGCAGCTTGTGGCTACAGCCATCACCAGTTTGCAATCACGACCACAGTGAGGAGATTTTCAAAGTGTCCGATGGAGCACTGATAGGCTGTCTTTATTTGGGATTTGGACTTAAAATTACCACTTGGTGATCTACACAGTTTAGCAATTGCTTGTGCAATCCAAACAAAAATACAAAGGATTTACACGAAATTCCATTTACTCGGTGATCTCTGGTGGTCTTATTCACAGTTAAACTAGTTAAACAGATAGCACAGGGTAATCAGAGATACAAGGTGTAGAGCTGGATGAACACAGCAGGCCAAGCAGCATCAGAGGAGCAGGAAAGCTGATGTTTTGTGCCTGCACCAAACGTCAGCTTTCCTGCTCCTCTGATGCTGCTTGGCCTGCTGTGTTCATCCAGCTCTACACCTTGTATTCTCAGATTCTCCAGCATCAGCAGTTCCTACTATCTCAGCACAGGGTAATCATATTCTTTCTCTAGGCCGCTACAATGCAGCGTGGCAATGAATCGTGGGCATGTGATGGCATTCAAGTACTCAACTGTGTTGAGTTTCTTCAAGGGACATTACTCTCAGAGTGATACAACACAGTACATTTCATCAGTCTATTACGGGCCATATGTTGACAACTTATTTGTGCTATTAACCATTCACATGCCTGCACCTGCAGCAGATTCAAGCCTCCCTCCCGCTCAGAGAAATCTCTGAATATGCACATGGGACACACAGAGGGTAGCACTCACCTTCATTGCTCCCACATCGCTTTTCCTGCTACCTGGAGGCTGGGTGATTAATGCACTTTCAATAAAATGCAGTAGAGGAAGAGTTCTGCAGAGCACTCTGGCTCAGTTCAAGTTCATTACTTGCTCTTGAGTTCCTCTCCACGCTGGCTTTAGGAAACCTTATTCTGTTTCACAACCATGGTGTAATCTGGGGTGTCATGCCCCCAATCCTCCCACCACCATCACCACTCCATTCTGTAGGGCCTTTCTGTTTGTTTATTCACTGACAGTGTCATTAAGTAGGCCAGCATTTATTGCCCATCCCTAACTGCCCAGAGAGAAGTTAAGAATCAGACACATTGTTGTGAGTCTGGAGTCACATGTAGGCCAGGCCTGGTAAGGATGGCAGTTTCCTTCCCTAAAGGACATTATTGAACCAGATGGGATAACAAGGTATGGAGCTGGATGAACACAGCAGGCCAGGCAGCATCAGAGGAGCAGGAAAGCTGATGTTTCAGGTCTGGACCCTTCTTCAGAAAAAAACAGATTTTATTTTTTAGGACAATTGGTCATTGTTTAGATTCCAGATGTTTTAAATTGAATTCAAATTCCATCATCTGCCATGGCAGGATTTGAACCTGGGGTCCCCAGAACATTCACTGGGTCTCTCAATTAACATTCCAGTGATAATACCACTAGGCCGTTGCCTCCCCTCTAATGATAAGCTTTAATGTGATGATTGCATGGACAAGATTGACCATCTAGACTAGAAATGGAATAATGAATGATTTACCAATTTTGTAGTAATTCATCTGGCACCAGCTTATGGCATCCAGGAAGCAAGCCCAGAGCCGGCAAATTCTAGTTATTGCCACTAGCTGATCGTAGTTAGGATTTTAAAGAAACTATTTTTTCCCCCAAGTCCCTTTCTTGCTCACAAATGCAATTGTTTTGCATCAATTACATATTCAATCTGTCCCATGTGTTTTTCTCATAAAATCTTATTGTTGGCAACAGCATGGCATTCTGCTCAGGGGCCCAAGACGTAAGTGATGCTCTCCAGGCAGACAAAGAGAGAAGGCTATCTAAAGGATTCAAGACTCTGCCGAGAAATGGCTCACTGCATGGATTCCAAGTTGGCAGGTATGCAAATCCCTCGCACTATTTGTTTATTTAAAGAGAGCGCAGCAATCCCTCTTATGGTTTGCTTATTTAAAGAGACAGCACATATTGCATTCAGAATAGAACCGAACCTGTCATGCCAGTTTACTGCCTCTTAGCTTTAGCGTCACATTGTTGATTCCAATTCGCTTCACTAGTTTTAATAGGCCTTGCTTAAATTATGCTACTTTAAATAAAACCAAATTAATTGTACACAGTCTTGACAGCGACTCTTCTTTCAACATAACTGGTTTCCAGCATGTTGAGCTGTTATTTGTACAGATGTGAAATAAATGCTGTTCAGATATGATTGTCCTGGGCTGTGGCTGGGGACATTTGTGGATGCACAGAGTACGTTCACTTTGCACAGGCAACAGTATGACGTATCTAGCAGCAGCATTACAGATAGGATTTTCCACTGTCCGTGGAGGAAGTGTTAGACAGCAGGAGGGTGCAGAAAAGTCACACATTGGGAAGACGTCATTGGTTCATGGCGTGTTTGAAACATGAACAGATTTTCAAAGGGAGAGCTGGCAACGCACGCAGCTCCAAATAATTGCTTGCCAGAGTTCATTAGGACAACAGAGAGCAAATTATTGAATTTTCAAATGTCAAGCAGGAGGAACACTGAAGGGCTGGAGCACACTGCAGCGAAATTATGGTGAAGCAAAATCAGATAAGCTGAAATTTTGTTTGTGGCAAAGTTGTCAGCCATTCCCACCACTGGAATAGGAAACCCAATAGACAAAGGCACATGACAATTGAAAATTCCAAACTGGTAGCTCCAGATTGGCTAACCATGCCAACCAAACAGAAAGGAGTTTGGCTACATGACAACATGGAATGTGGGAAAGTCTTCACTTGACACAGATCTCCCTGTGAGACCCTACTGACGCGTCCAACAAATGGTCTTCTGCTCACCCCCATCTAAAGCCACAAAGTAGCATGGACATGCTCTGGGACTGTACACTGCAGCGCGAAAACATGGAAAAGATGTTTGCATTGACAATACGCTGGCTGTACTGCACTCGTCTGAAGGCATCACACTAAGCAATGAAAGATCACTCAGTTTCTTCTCATCTAACATCCAACATTTTACAACGCCTTTTACTGTACGAGGTCAGACCATTATAAAGCGTGGACAAATTGAAAATAAAGAGACGTTTTTCACCTACTTGCCATGTCACTGTGTTTTCATTTGGGATTTATAACAGAGAGTGTTTGCAGACAAATTTAAGTATCATAGGAACCTCTTGGATTTATTGAAGCTCCGCTTAGCATAAATTTGTGGGCAGGCCCCTGTGATTTGACTTATCAGGATTTTATTACAACTGTCGGGATCATGGCGGGGTGCAGGGTTCATTAGAGCTCATGAAAGGTTTGCGTCCTTCCTGAACTCAGTGCCATCTGTATGCCACTACAAAAATGAAACAGCCCTTTGTCATTAAATACCAGAATCCAGAGGTGAAATATTTCAAACCAAACTCCAGAACAGAGCTTTCCTGCAACTTCCAAAATAACTTATCTGGACTCAAAAGTACTCCAAGAACCTCTGAAATCTTATATGAATCTCGATATGAGAAATGGCCATTGTACTGTTTCCTCGTATCATCCATAGGTAGCACCCCTGCCTTCGAATCATCTTCCTAACATTCTCAACTGCAGTGAATACAAGATGTGACAGGAAGGCTAACCACACTCTCACATATAGAGTCATAGAGTTGTACAGCACAGAACAGACCCTTCAGTCCAACTCGTCCATGCTGACCAAATATTCTAAATTAATCTAGTCCCATCTAAACCCATCCAGATGCCTTTTAAATGTTGTAATTGTACCAGCCTCCACCACTTCCTCTGGCAGCTCATTCCATACACGCACCACCCTCTGTGTGAAAAAGTTACCCCTCAGATCCATTTTAAATCTCTCCCATCTCACCTTAAACCTATGCCCTCTAGTTGTGGACTCCCCAACAATCGGAAAAAGACCTTGTCTATTCACCCTATCTATGCCCTTCATGATTTTATAAACCTCTATCAGGTCACCCTCCAGCCTCCGGCGCTCCAGGGAAAAATCTCCAGCCTATTCATACAGCTCAAATCCTCCAACACCAGCAATGTCCTTGTAAATGTTTTCTGAATCATTTCAAGTTTAACAACCTTTTTCCTGCAGCAGGAAGACCAGAACTGAACACAGTATTCCAATAGTGGCCTAAGCAAAGTCCTGTACAGATGCAACATGACCTCCCAACTCCGAGACTCAATGTATTGACCAATTAAGGCAAGAGTAACAAGTGCCTTCTTTTCTACCCTGTCTACCTGCGACTCCACTTTCATAGGAACTATGAACCTGTACTCCAAGATCTCTTTGTTCAACAACACTCCCCAGGACCTTACCATTAAGTGTATAAGTCCTGCCCTAATTTGCCCGACCAAATGTAACACGTCATATTTATCTAGATTGTAGTGATGCTTTGGCCAACATCTATCCCTCAACCAACATTACAACAATATATTGCTTGGTGATTACTCATTGTTGCTCCGTGGAATTTCCTCCATTACAACAATGATTCCCATTTCAATAAGTGATCCATTAGCCATGAAATAGTTTGGGCCATCAAAGGCTGTTCAAGATGCTGTAGACAAAAAGTCTTTGCAAAAGACTGCACCTTAACTGAAGTGGATATGCATTTTACCTTCTCTCATCCCAGGTGCAACTTGTAGGAAAACTTAAGTGCATTGTAAAACCAGTAAAACCACTCTCCTCCCAAATTCTGACACACCCTTTCTCTTGACACAAATCGAGTTGCTATGTGAACTGGTGGAATTTAGGAAGGTGGCTATTTATTTAGATCCATACCTGATGTGCTTGTTGCAGGAGTTCCATTCTCTCCTGCAGGATTTGGCAGTCGTATTCCCTGCTCTTTCTTAGCATCTGACGTCTTAGTTTCTCCACAGCGATTCGCAAGTCGTCCTTTTGCTTCTCAGTCAGTGACTCGCCGAGTTTAATGACTGTATCCTGCTGTAATGCATTGTACAGGGTGGCCTCCAGCTCCTGGATATGCTGAAAGAACAAGTTTGGAACATAAAGCTATCAAAAGAAGGCAAATTAATTTACAAAAAGACTGAAATTTGGGGGCTTGACACAGAATTTCCTGAACAAAGCAATTTGTGCATCTAATTGGTACTTGTCTGTATTATGATGTCTTCTTTGTAGTATTTCCTTCTTTCAGTACCTTCAACATTATGTCCCTTGTATCTCATTAAACCAACTCGCCTTCACGTACCAATCTGGTAAGTGATTGTCATTGGCGAACTTTGTTACTGGGGACGGTCATAGTTGAGTTCAATTTTGTGTTTGGCCAATATTTGCGCAGACTTTTCAATGGCAGATGTTGAGCTATACCTCAAGTGGGTGTGGTGATTTTTCCCGTACCGTGATGAAAGGTGTGTGATTTCCATATATCAAAGTCATTTTTGGTTAGAGGTCCCGACCTGAAACGTTGACTTTCCTGCTCCTCTGATGCTGTCCAACTGGCTGTGTTTCTCCTGCTCAACATTTTATCAGCTAGTGGCATAAGGGAATTGGGTTTTTTTTCCTGAAGGTGTTTAATAGTTAACAGGTCAGTCTTTCGGAGGTATGATTTTAACCCATTACATGTCAGAGAGTACATGCTTGAAGGCCTCTTGGGTATTGAGTTAAAGTTACACAGCATGGAATCAGACCCATCAGTACAACCACTCCATGTTGACCATAATCCCAAACTAAACTTGTCCCATCTGCCTGCGCTTGGCCCACATCCCTCCAAACCTTTCCTATTCATGTACTTATCCAAATGTCTTTTAAATATTGTAACTGTATCCACATCCACCACTTCCTCCGGAATTTCATTCCACACACGAACCACCCTCTGTGTAAAAAAGCCACCCCCTTGTGTCTTTTTTAAAATCTCTCTCCTCTCACCTTAAAAATATGCCCCTAGTCTTGAAATCCTCCATCCTTGAGAAAAGACACCCGCCACTCACCCTATCTATACCCGTCATGATTTTAAAAACCTCTAATGAGGTCATCCCTCAACCTCCTGTGCTCCAGTGAAAAAGGCCCAGCCTCCCCCTATAATGGAAAACTTCCTTTCCCACAATAACCTGGTAAATCTTTTCTGAACCCTCTCCAGCGTCTAAGTATCCTTCATATAACAGAACAACCAGAACTACACACAGTACACCAGAAGAGGCTTCATCAACATCTTGTACAACCTCAACATGATGCCCCAACTCCATTACTCAAAGATTTGAGCAATGAAGGCAAGCATGCTAAATGCTTCCTTAACCATCCTGTCTACACGTGGCACAGACTTCAAAGAATTATGCTCCCGAACCCTGTGTTAATGGAAGTTTGTTTGTATTGTGGTGTTTTACGACAGGAGAGAGATAAGTTGAACTATTTTAACTTGAACAAAAACAAAGTTGCTGGAGAAGCTCAGCAGGTCTGGCAGCATCTGTGAAGAAAAAAAAGTGTTAACATTTCGGGTCCAGTGACCCTTCCTTAGAACTGAACTTGATTTTGAATTTAGAGCTATCGAGGATGAATTTTAGCTTAGAAAATTCAGATATAGGAAATCTTTTATTCAGTTTGAAGCCGACTTGACTGGGGTAAGATACAAGTGTATTTTCTTCCATTAAAATAAAAGATGATGGTGCAGGGCAGTTAAAGTATAATTTGTCTCAGTGCTAGGGTCGCAGTTTGTGAAACTTCCAGACCAGATGTGTTTTGTTAGAATTCTGCGGCTTATTAAATAACCGAGCAAGTTTAAGCTCTCAGTGGTGTGAGTCATCGAGTCGAGGAAAAAGATCTTGCAGTTCACAGGACCAGATCTGAAAATAAGCAGTCAAGTCAGCCTACAGATGTGATACAGAAAGAAAATTTCCATGGATTTTGATTCACTGTAAAAGTAGTGGTATTTCAGAGTAGAAGGGATTTTGTTTTGCTGAATGTTTGAAACCTTCCAAACTGTGTTATATTTAGAGAGCTTGGTTTGTTTTCTTTTTAATTTTCTTTCGTTTTCAACTTCTGTTTCATTGTTAAAACCAAATCTGTAGCCTGGCATGCTTATTGTTTCAATGAAACACTGGCATGTTAAATTAAAGGAAAGAGGAACATCTATTAAGATGGATTTAATTCTCGGAGCTGACTTGTACAGTCGTAAAACCAGGCCCATCACTGTTTGCTCATAGAGTATAAACTGTTGCTCCCTCTGACGTCTGATATTCTTGCATGTGTCCTGATGAGTGTAGGACTACGATCTTCAACAGCACCTCCCTCTTTTCAGCAAAAATCCAGGTTCTGTGTGAACAAGCAACTATTTCTAATGAAAGTTTCGTAGCTACCATAATGTGACTTCTGTATACCCTAGTGAACAAACCTATGGATATTATAATGAGATCTCTGCAGAGAACGAAATTCCTTTATATGGAACAATGCCGTATATTAGATAATTAACACTTCCAGGTAATGTATAGTGCAATTATTTACCATGTATGCTTGATCCAGGGCTTGTTTCCTATAATCTAACTCTTCCTCCAGGTAACCTTTTTGTTTGCAGAACATATCCTGCAAGAAAAGTAAAAATGATATTTATTTATATTCTGCTGATCCAGAAAATTCTGTAGCCACATGATTGCCGCATTGCATTCCCATCTTTTCTGGGAAAATAAGTTTAAAGTTCTTCTGCTCACTCAGGTCATCTTTAAGTTTTCCAGACAGCAGCCTCTTTTTTTCAGACAAACAACCAAAGAAAGGACAAAATTACTGCAGGTGCTGGAATCTGAAGTGAAAACAAAAAATGCGGGAGATCACAGCGGGTCAGGCAGCATCAATGGAGAGAGAGCAAGCTAACACTTCAAATCTAGATGACTCTTCATCAGAGCCCTGAGAGCTTCTGATGAAGAGTCATCTTGACGCAAAACGTTAGCTTGCTTTCTCTCCATGGAAACAACCAAAGGTAATGAGCAGGCCCAGAGGTCAGCTAGATGTGAAACTGTTTAATTGGCCTCCATGAGACAGACCTGAGTTTTCAACATGTCTGCCATGGTGAAAGCGATATGGCCAGTCCTATCCCCAGTGGCTCTGACTTCAATAATCATGAAGTCCTTCAAGAGGCTGGTCATGGCCCACATCAACTCCAGTCTCCCGTTCTGCCTTGATCCCCTACAGTTTGCCTACCAACATAACAGGGCCACAGAGGGTGCCATATCCCTAGCCCTGCACTCATTCCTGGAACATTTGATCAACAAAAATACCTACATCAGACTCCTGCTCATTGACTACAACTCCACCTTCAACACCGTTATCCCCTCCAGACTGATCTCAAAACTCTGTGAACTTGGTCTCAGATCTGCCCTCTGCAACTGGATCCTCAGATTTCTGACCCATAGACCGCAATCAGTGAGGATAGGTACCTGCACTCCCTCCACAATAACACTCAACACTGGAGCCCCCCGCCCAGAGATGTGTCCTCAGCCCCCTACTGTTCTCCCTGTACACCCATGACTGTGTTGCCAAATTCCAAATGAATACCATCTACAAGTTTGTTGACGACACCATCACAGTGGGACGGATATCGAACAACGACGAGTCATGCTACAGAAGGGAGATAGAGGGCTTGGTGACGTGGTGCAATGAAAAAAATCTGTCTCTCAATGTCGGCAAAACTAAAGAACTGATCATCGACTTCAGAAAGAAAGGAGGAGAACACGTCCCCATCTACATCAATGAAACTGAGGTTGAGAAGATGAAGAGCATCAAGTTCCTCGGAGTGACGATAACCGACGACCTGTCCTGGACTTCCCCCGTAAATGCGACAGTCAAGAAGTCACAAAAACGCCTCTTCTTCCTCAGGCAGACCAGGAAGTTTGCCATTTCCATAAGGTCCCTCACCAACTTCTATAGATGCACCATTGAAAGCATACTGTCCGGGTGCATAACGGCCTGGTATGGCAACTGCTCTGCCCAGGACCGTAAGAAACTACAGAGGGTTGTGTGCACAGCCCAAACCATCACAGAATTTCCATCCATCCAACCTTCCATCCACGGATTCCATTTATATGGCTCGCTGCTGCAGAAAGCAGCCAACATCATCAAAGACCCATCGCACCCTGGTAATGACCTCCTACAACCTCTTCCATCAAGCAGAAGATACAGAAGCTGAATACATGCACAAGCAGGTTCAGGAACAGCTTCTTTCTGGCCGTTATCAGACTGTTGAATGGACTCTAGCCTCAAATAATGTAACCTGTATGCCTCTAAGGCTTTTTGATCTGTACATCCTTTGCTTGCTGTGATCTGCCTGTACCACTCGCAAACAAAGCTTTTCACTGTATTTTGGTACACGTGTCAACAAAATCAAAATCAAGTGTTTATATAAGCAGAGGTAACATCACCAAAGATACAGGCACCATCCCTTCAATTGGGATTGGCACTAGCCAAGATACATTAGTGTTAGTGAACATAGTCATAGAGGTGGAACAGAGGAGGTTAAAAGCCCAAGATTCCTACTCTGGCCATTATTATACAATACCCACCACCCTGATGGAATGTCTGGTGAAATTTGAGAAGAAAAAGAGGTGCTCAGTGAAGCCAAGGCCAGACTAGTTTCAAAAGAACAACAAGGTGAGTGGCCCATTCACAGACAAGGTAGGGAAGATGTGCCACTCTCAGGAAACCTGACTGGAAAGGAAGATCATTTAGTTTTTAACACAAGCCACTATTCAAAGCGGACATAGGCGAATCCCGGGCACACAGTTCTCTGGGCCTGTTTTTTTTAATATCCAGAAATGTTATCATGCTCAACTTAAATTTTCTTTCCCATCACCAAATCGGCGGTATTAGGGCTTTTTTCAAAAGAAAATTATTTAACCGATTTCCAATCAACCTGTTCAGAGATGCTATTTCATAACATTGGAGTAGGTAGGACTTGAACCTAGACCTCCTGGCTCAAAGGTAGGCACACTACCATTGCATCACAAGAGAACTCCCTTGGGTCTGCTTTAACGAGTTTACTTTTTTAATTTAACCTATTTTTTTGAACCAACCAGTTCAGAGATGTTGTTACACGCCTCTGGAGCAGGTGGGACTTGAACCAGGGCCTCCCAGCTTAGGGGCAGGGACACTACCACTGTGTCACACAAGGGCTCTGTGACTGTGGGCTCAGGTGATGAGTTCCATTGTGGCAGGCCATTGCCTATTACCAAGGGAACTCAGGCCCAATGAGCTCAGGGAGATTAATTAGTCATTCCCCAAGAACGTTGAAGTGGTTATCTCTCTCACACACACACACAAACACAAGGATTCTTTTAAATATTGTGGCTTTGGCAGAATATTTCAACATTAACAATTGGCAGAGTCACAGCAAAGTTTCAAGTTGCTCATCCCGTCTCAGTAAGAATTGTATTTCGTACCATCTCAATCTCCAAATCTATCATCTTCTGGTGTAGTGCAGCCTCAGTACCTTCAATCTGCTGGAGCCACTAGAAGATGAGAAAAAAAGTATTATTTTACATTAATTCCAATTCACAAAACAAGTCCACACTCTGTGGCCAGCACATTCATGACTATCGAGACCTTGAAATAAGCTTTCAAATAATTTATTTTACACCTCCTTATTCCATCACTTGATTTACTGGCTTGTTTTGCATGGGGGCAAAAAATGAACTCAATTTGAAAACCCAAACCAAGAGGCCCAAAGTTGCTGCTCAAAGCTTTGACAAATTTGGTTATATCTTGGGTTTTTTCTGGCAAATAACTGATCATTTCCCTTCAGATGATTTTCTTAAGGCTAGATCATGTGATATTATGATTAAACAGTGTTTAATTCAGGCTTTGTATGGTATTTAAAATAAGTACTGTTTAACATCATATTCAGAAAAGATCCATAAATCATTCTGTTGTGAGACAACAGATCCCAATCTCATTTATAATTTTAAAAAAAAGTTATATAACACATGATTATCCTTATGCAAGTTCCTTAGATAACTATAAATGAATATACAGTCCTGGTTCCAATTTTGAAAGAGGAGCACAGGATACATCAAGGAATATGCATTGCCTCATGTTGTTGATGATAAGTGATTATAGTTAGCTTTATTGGAACAGGAATGCATAGTCTAAGCAGACATAATAATGATATATTTTCATGAATTGTGCACCCCAGGAGATCTCCAGAGTTCAGTCTGCTCACTAAGATAGCACTACATCACAAAACCAATGGAAGAGAGTCAGACCTCCATTGCCTCTGATAGCTAGCTATTCCATCTGCTGCTCCTAGGTACCTTTATGCATCCCAGGGAACTCCAAGCACAAAACAGGCCAAATGGACTAATTGCAAATTGTGCAGTATTTAACAGAGTGCTGAAGCCAAGAGATGATGCCAGTGGGAATTTAGCCCCAATGAGGAAAGAAATACCGCTTTTTATTTTCAACACCAAAAGCATAAACTATATGGAGCAATTGCAGCAAGGAGGGTTTGAGATGGTAGCCATTACTGAGACAGGGCTACAAGTCAGTCAGGACTAGAAACCAAATACACCAGGTTATAAGGTGAACAGGAAAGATTGGGAAAATGCTAGAGTGGAAGAAGCGTTCTTTATGACTAAATATTAAATCACCAAAATAAGACACGACAGTACAAAAACATCAAGGCCACTTTTGACCGAGTGTAGCATCAGGAAGCCCAAGCAAAACTAGAATCAATGGGAATCAGAGGGCAAACTCTCCGCTAGTTGGAGTCAAACATGGCACACAGAAAGATGGTTGTGGTTGTTCGATGTCAGCCATTTCAGCTCCAGAACAACTCTGCAGGAGTACCACAGGGTAGTGTCCTAGGCCCAACCATCATCAGCTGCTTTATCAATGTCCCTTCCCTCCATCATAAGGTCAGAAGTGGGGATGTTCGCCAATGATTGCACAATGTGCAGCTCCATTTGTGACTCCTCAGATACTGAAGCAGTCCATGTTCGAACGCAACAAAATCTGGACAATATCCAGACTTGGGCTAGCAAGTGGCAAATAACATTCGCACCACAGAAAGGCCAGGCAATGACCATCATCAATAAGACACAATCTAATTACTATTCAATGGCGTTACTGAATTCCCTGCCATCAAATCCTCAGGCATCGATGATCAGAAACTCAACTGGACTTGCCACATAAACACATTTGGTTTACAAGAGCAGATCAGAGGCTGGGAATCCTGCAGCAAGTAACTCACCTCCTATCTCCCCAAAGCCTCCCCACCATCAACAAGGCACAAGTCAGGAGTGTGATGGAATACTCCCCACTTGCCTGGATGAGTGCAGCTCCAACAACACTCAAGAAGCTTGACACCATCCAGGACAAACCATCCACTCCCTCCACCACTGACACTCAGTGGCAGCAGTGTGTACTATCTACAAGATGCACTGTAGAAATTCACCAAAGATTCTGACACAGCACCCTCCAAACCCACAACTGCTTCCATCTAGAAGGACAAGGGCAGCAGATACATGGAACACCACCCCCTGCAAGTTTCCCTCTAAGCCATTCACCATTCTGACTTGGAAATATATTACTGTTCCTTCAGTGTGGCTGGGTCAAGATCCTGGAATGCCCTCCCTAAAGGCATTGTGGGTTTACCCACAGAACATGGATTTTAGCGGTTCAAGAACGCAACTCACTGCCGCCTTCTCAACAGCAACTAGGGACAGGCAACAAATGCTGACCAGCCGCGACGCCCATATCCCATGTATAAGTTATGTAATAAAAGTAAACAGGCAGTGTAGTCTTTATGGGCTGACTAAAGAAATAGAAATGGACTTAAGAGTGTAGGAGCTGTGCACAGGCTGCATAGCAATTACTGTGAAATGATAGCTTATACAAATGCTATGATTAATCAAATGCTACAAAGTGATTTTAATGGAGAAGTCAAACTTTCATATAGATTGGAATAAGCAGACTAGTCAATGCTAGAAGGGTACAGAATATCTAGAGCATTGCCAGGTAGATTTTCTGAAAGTCTCCCTATGAACCAACAAGGGGAAGGTCACATTAGATTCAGTAATGGCCAGGATTTAGCTAACAACCTATCAGTGTGTCACATAATGAACATAATATGATCAGATCTACGGCAATGTGTAAAAAGGTAAAACAAGAAATATCTACAGATTCTAGAGTTAGGTAAAATTAATTTCAAAAGGATGAGACAGAGACTGCCCACTCTAAACTAGGAAAACCTGCTTCTCAGGATCAGTGAGATTTGTTTGAGGAATTTAACATGGTTGAGTTTATATCTCGACAGGACAAGAGTTATACTTGTCAAAATTGGCACAGCCAACTAAAGAAGTAAGAGATGAGATAAAACACAAAGCATGTAAAAAAGCAAAAAGTAAAACACAGCTCCAAATATCTGGGAAAGACACAATGAACAGCAAAGGATGATAAAGCAAAACTACAAAAAAGGATTAGGAAACATTAGGATTAGGAATGCATTGCCGGAGAGGGTAGTGGAGTCGGCCTCATTAGGGGCATTTAAGTGGCTATTAGATAGGCGTATGGATGATAGTATAAGGTAGTGGTGGAGGTTAGATAGGTTTAGGGTAAAAGTTCGGCACAACATCGTGGGCTGAAGGGCCTGTACTGTGCTGTACTGTTCTATGTTCTTTCTATGGAACAAAACCTGCAAGGGGCACCAGCAGGTTTAAGAACTGTTTCTTCCTTGCCGTTATTAAACTGATGAATGGACTTTCTAACTTCAAATAATGCTGATCTTGTTAACATTGATCCTGCCCAGCGCACATCCTGTGTGTTGTAACCTGTATTTAACCTTACACTGTCCAAGGTTTTTTTTTCCACCCTATGATCTGTATGTCCTTGCTTATGACGATTTGCCTGTAGTGCTTGCAAACAAAGCTTTTCACTGTACTTAGGTCCATGTGACAATAAATCAAATCAAATCAAATTAAATATGAAACCAATGGTTCACAATTGCATCATGGAAGAGAGGGCATTCAGGCCTGATGTGGAATACTTTAAACAAAATAAATAAATAAACATGGCTTTTGTTCCCCTGTAATTCAAGAAGCTATGGACGATTTTATCGCATTTATATGTTTAGTAACTAATAACCCTATTTTTTTTGTTGAGAGAACCAGGTTGAATTGGCTCCTATTAAAAAGTAAACTCACTTGATCTGGGAAAAGGTATCGACAGAGGGAGGAATGTAGTGACTGTAATGAGGTCAGCCAGGTGGACCCCATAGAATATAAGTTCCCTGACTGGACCAGATTAACAGCCCCAGTCAGGGAGCCCTGGCTGACAGAGGAGTATCAGACATTCAGACACTCTGAGGAAGCTGGATCAGTGTCAAGGACTCACCACATGTAAATAAAGGGTGACTTGGCAATGGGATATTGGCCTCTATGGAGTTATTTCAGGGATGCTTTGCAAAATAAATCTTGTTGAGACCACGAGGAGGCAAGTGAATAGAGAAGAGGAGCCAGTTCATCTCTACTCACCCTGGAATTTAAAAACTTGGGGTATCCCATCTGAGACTGTAATGACCTGAGTAGCCTATCCTGAATAAAGTCGTAACAATTTAAGGTAACAATAATAACATTATATAGAATTCAGACAGTTTCAGGGGAATCTAAGACCAGGTGTTAGAATCTAAAATGAGAGTCAGGAGTGAAGTTAGGATGCAAAAGGGAAGTCAAAGTTTGGAACTCTCTTCAAAAACAATAATCGATGGAAGTTCCATTGTTTAATTTTAAAACTGAGATTGATTGATTTTTGTTACCCATAAGTAGCAAGAGACATGGAGCTAAGGCAGATATATCGGAGTGAGGTTGCAGGTCACCCATGGTCTGCAAAAACGACAGAACAGGCTCAACGGGCTAAATGGAGTTCTCCAGTTCCTATTCATTTATAAAGGAGGACTATGAAACAAGAAGCTGCCTCTAAGTCTTAACCTTCCCTTCAGAACCACCTTGACCTTAGAATTGGTACTAATCCCAGGGGAGGTTCGAGAGCCAGATGAGGGACACCGTTTTACTACCCAAAGCGTAGATTTGCTCCCTCACCTTGTAACAATGGGGCTGCACTTACCACAGGCATTTCAGAGAAGCCAAAGAAATTACAGGATAATGCAGCTGAACTGGGGAGGCGATGGCCTAGTGGTATTATCGCTGGACTGTCAATCCAGAGACCCAAATCATGTTCTGGGGACTTGCGTTCAAATCCTGCCATGGCAGACAGTGGAATTTGAATTCAACAAAAATATTTGGAATTAAGAATCTAATGATGACCATGAATCCATTGTAGATTGTTGGAAAGACCCATCTGGTTCACTAATGTCCTTTAGGGAAGGAAACTGCCATCCTTACCTGGTCTGGCCTACATGTGACTCCAGATCCACAGCAATCTGGTTGACTCTTAACTGCCCTCCAGGCAATTAGGGATGGGCAATAAATGCTGGCCTGGCCAGTAATGCCCTCAT